CAAGGGTATATAAACTTTGGCGTGCCGAAGTTGGCTTCAATTTTTTTTTCTTTTTTGTTGCCGGACATCGTGTTAAAATAATATCCGAAAGGGAAATACCTCAGCACCGAACTCAACGTTGAACGGAGCATCGTTCGATTCAGGTACCTGAATGTCACGCTTGCCGCTTTGCTGAACTGGGGAGTATGCATAAGGCCATTCCTGCTCGACATTGATTTTATCCTGAACCGCTCACCGCTTCAATCAAAGTCCGACTGAGATGTCGACCGGTCCAATCCTCAGACGTGATCAAGGGGCACCTGGTCATTAGGTGTGAAAATGGATTCTCTAGGAGCTTCCTGGCGGAATGTGTGGCTAAGATCAGCGACACATGGATGGGCTTAAGAGTATTTGAAAATATAATATTTAGCAATGTTACGATATGTAACAAAGGTAAAACGCCAAATTTCATTTTTCCAAGCACGAAAAATTATCATGGGTGGGAAGAGGTGTGAAATCTGACCTTGCAATCAAACACAGTAGATACAAATATGTGAAATGGAGGGTTGTCGATACCCTCCAAAAACTTCTGTTCAGACGATAGATATATTTTCTTTAATCTAACGGCATCAGTATGAAAACAGGTACCAAAAAAGAAACCCCCGTAAGACAGATTGGAACAAATTTAGCAAAATTGTTCAATTTAAAATAAAACAGGAGGATTAAGACACAATCTTCCTTAAAGAAGGAAGGACCTCACAACATCCCGAACAACGCCTTCCTAAAGACATATTAAAGATATCATTCTCACCCACTGTGGTGAACGAAAAAATGAACGATCTCAGAAGGGCGCGAAAGTCCTTCAACACAAGCTATGTAACCCGGGAATGGCAAAAAAAAAACTCTTGGCAAAGCTACTCTAAGTCACTTGAAGACATAAAGGACACTGCGAGATTAAGCAAAATTCTAGCACACAAGCACCACCCTTATTAATAGAGTAGATTGATACAACGACAATAGGGGAGTCATTAGAGCAACTAGTTGATACTCAGTTCCCAGGGAACCTACGAGAGAACTCGGAACGCAAGGGGGAAAAGAACACTCAGACAGACACGCCAACGAAAGACATCATTACTACGGAGCATGGGCAATAGATTCTTTTGACAAATACAAAAGACCGGGCCCAGACGCCATAATACCGGCAATGCTACAATCAGGCAAGAAAAGCATCTGTAGATAGCTAAAAGCCATTTAAAAAGCTTGTATAAGTCTGATGCACATCCCATTCTTGTAGAGGGAAGCGAAAGTCACATTCATACCGATACAAGGCAGAAGGGGGCACATCCTAGCAAAGGATTACCTCCTTCGCTCTAAAGACACTAGAGAGACTCCCGATTTTCGGATGCGCAACACGCTTACCGAAATGGCAAGTCAACGGAAACAGCACTGCACAAAGTTATACCTCATGTGGAGAGAACATTGCAACACAAGCAATACACGTTGGCCGCCCTCCTAGACATCGAAGGTGCGTTCAATAACGTGAAGTCCGACTCTATCATATGCTCCCTCAACTTGTTTGGTATTGACAGAGGCATCAGAGATTGGATCGGGGTTATGCTAAAGACAGGACGATCACAGCCGAACTGAGTGGCATTCATCTCACGTGGACTGTGAAGAGAGGCACACCGCAGGGCGGGATTCTACCGCCCCTATTCTGGCTCATAAATATGAACGCCATACTATTAGATCTCAATACGGGTGGAGTCAAAGCAGTTGCATATGTAGACGACGTAGTACTACTAGTATCAGGATCAAGATAAGTATCTAGGAGAACTAATAGATAAAAAGCTCTCATGGAGTGGAAAACATTGCAAAAGAGTGAGGAAGGCAAGTATTGCCTTCTACTCCTGCAGGAAAATGTTTGGAAACAAATGGGGTAGCAGTGGTACGGCCAATACTAACATACGGTGGCCTAGTGTAGTGGCCGGCACTAACTAGTGCATACAATAGATCGAAGCTGACAGGGATACAATTAGCAGCGAGTCCGGGGACCGTGGGAACAATGCGCTCATGCCCCGCGGTTGCCTTAAATGCTATCTTGAATATAATGCCGATAGAACTGTTTGTAATGGACATTGCAGCGCAGAGCGCAGTAAGACTTAAGGCAAGCAATTGCTGGAAGGAATACGGCGCCGGGTACGACAAATTCTTGAAAGCATCAAACGAAAAGACGGACTACTTGACCGCGGAGTTGAAATTCGGGAACGCATTCTCGACCTCATACCCAACAAGGGAAAACTAGAGCAAAGACAAAGTGGCAGCAGAGAATGAAGTGTCCCTCTACACGGATGGCATAGGGGCTGGGATCTACGCTAAGAATTGGGGGATTGAAAAAGCATTAAACCTCTCGGACTCACCGACGGTCTTTCAGGCTGAGCTGCTAGCATAAGGGAAGCAGATGAACTCTCCTTACGGCGAGAGCTTGGATAGCCAAGCGGCATTAAAATCTCTTGCTACCGTGAAAACAAAATGACGGCTAGTGACAGAATGCAAGAAAGCTCTTAATAGACTTGCTGAGAAACATGAGGTCAAGTAACCTGGGATACCAGGACATAATGAGATCCCGGGAACCAAAAGGCAGACGAACAAGCCCGTGCAGGATCGGCAGAGCTAAGGACGGACATTGCAATACCGATCTCCCTAAACGCGATCCAGTTAAGGATCCGTGACCACTTCAAACAAACACCCAATAAGGAATGATTCAGAAAGAGCGAGCACAGGAGGTCAAAGATATGTTGGCCGAGATACAAAAAAGGAACCACAGAATTGCTATTCAACAGCAAATGGGATATCAGGATGACGGCAGTCACCACAGGACATTGAGCGCATGGATCGCATGCAATGAAGATGGGACTGACACATAATACAATCTGTGGAAGCTGCAATCAAACTACAGAGCAAGAGACACCGGAACATCTGCTCTACTTCTGCCCAGCGCTAAATCACACAAGACTTCGCCACTTTGGTACCTACCAGATGAAGTCACTGGGAAGCATAGGAAAGCTGAAGGTATCGGCAATTCTAGGTTTCTTTACTGACTCAGGATGTTACTGAGAGTGATCGAGATTACAAATAGTAAACAAAGGGAGTGGAGCAAAAAGGAGCTCAGCTCTAATAGGAGGAACTTGCTTATGCCTCACCACTGTAACCGACCTACCATTTCCTATCAAAACGGAAAAGGCTTCCTTAAGAAGCTTATTTTGTTTTTCGTTTGCTTTCCAGTTTAATGTGTTCACGGATACCTTTTGCATGGCGAAGGCTCGTAGCACCGAAGTTTTTTCAGCTGTGTACACCGTATATTGCTTTGATTGGCCTATTAGACGAAGGGGTGGTTTCCCCATAATGAACTTCATTCACTTTCGTTTTATGTTTCCACATTCTTCCATTGTCGGAAGTTATATTTATTGGAACCATTCCTCTAGTTGGTTTTCAATAGACTTTCGAATCCGGATCCGAAAATGGTGTAGGTTTAGCTAGAAAGAGCTGAGATAGCTTCCCATTAGATCCACATATCCAGAAGGATAGATACATGATGAACGTGATAAGCTAAAAGGAAAAATCTAGCTTAAATAGGCAGCGCTAATTCTAATTTCATGGTAAGCGGCAAATTAAAGTTTTTAGAGTCTGGTGGCTTCGGAAGTGTTATTTTTAAAATTATATTTTTATACCAATCCAAAAAGCAGCTGGGCCCGTTTTTATCGGAATAAGATAATATATGGAATAATCAGTTTTCGGATGCGCAATGCGGTCCCCGCAGCTCATTACAAAGGAAGTCTTCAGAAAAAGTAATAACCTTTTAATATTATTTAATACACGGTCCCGGGTAGCAAAAGGTTTCCAAACGAACAAATGCTCCGACTAGAAAGCGTACCAATTTGCAAAGTGTGCTGAAAACTCTCTTAAGGCGTTAAAACTTTATAAATCAAGTGCCGCCAGCGTAATTTTAGAGCCTCTCCATTCCGTTATTATGCTGAAAGAAGGAAGAGATAAGCAGAACGGAAAGATAACCTGGCTCCGCAGTTCCCGTTTTTACCAAATATTGCAGGACGTGGGTGGCGGAATTTGCGTTGCGCTTTAAGTTTTTGCAAGTCGTCGGAAGAATAAGCGAACGAGAATGGCTACTAATAAAATACTAATACTCATATGAGGCGCTGAGGTCAACTCCCACAAAAGCACTCGAAACCATAATCGAAGTTGATCCTCTAGATATCCACACGCAACTTACTGCAGGAAAACCTCCTAAAACCTTGTGGCATCAGAAATTATCTCGCTACAATGATTCGGGCACAGTTAAATTGGTCGACACATAAGTAGTATATCTGACTACATAATACCAAGAACTTGCCCGGATGTCAAGACCACAACATTCAATGGACCCAAGGACTTAAAAACGACTCAGGACTGTGGACCATACTTCAACTTATTCACCGACGGCTCTAAGATGAAAGGAGGAGTAGGATCGGGCATATACTGTACAGATCCTGTATAAAGATTGAGAGATTACCAAGATTACCAGAGGGAAATTTTCTCCATTAAGAAAGCAGCAGATCTCTTGCAGTCAAGCGGCAATAACATCAATACAATCGTCAGCGGTCAGTTCCCAAAAATGGTAGGCGAAACACAGCCAGTACTTACAGCGCCTGCCACGGAATGACTACAGACTGCTAGTGGGAATTCTCATTGACACACATTAGTTAAGCTAATCATCACCAACAATGGCAGCTGTAAGATGTGCAATGAATCCGAGGCAACTGAAACCTTAGGTGTACCTATGTGCCGCAGTACTGGCATCTCTAGCAGATGCCTCCAAGAGAACACCAGGTGAACTTCTTGCCATCGCTAAAAATCAAGGACAAACAAATAACATTCGGACAACAAAAGGCCGTCTTGGCCATACAGTGGTGTTTTTAAAACAATTAAAAGTATAAATGTCTTACTAAAGATATTTAAAATGTTTTTACCTTAAGTGAATTTTTAACTCGATTTATTAAATCCATCTTAAATAGACTTATCCACTGACCAACTTGATTTAGCACCGCTGCCTTAAACCCAGTCATGTTCAGTCTCAAGAAGACAAAGAAGTCTTCATGCGTGTCCCAAGTACGTATTTGATCTTGTAGCTCTATAAACCTATCAAGCTGTTCTTTATAGACCGAAAGTGGAGGGTTTTCCATACCCAAAGGCTTAACCAGTGAGCTACCTTCCTGGTCTGCCTCGGCATCGCGTTCGTCTAAAGTTAAGTTGCGACCGATTTTTTACTTCCGCCAAATATATGCTTTTATCCCAAATCCACAAGCTGGAATAATCCATGTAGCCCTTGCCATGTACTCGAATAGCTTGCAGGGCGAGCTTTATTTTGTTCATAATTTCCAGACGTTGTCTATCCAACTCAGCCTTATCCTGAAGCTCGTCTGTAAAGAAAAATACCATACCTTCTTATCTACCAAAACGGAGTTTTATAAGCTTACCAATGAAATTAATAGGTGGTTCACCAGTAACTTCGGTAGGATCTTGGGCTACACGGTTTAGAAGACTCATCATATTATTCATATCGTCAAGCAAAGTTTCAATAAAGAATGCGAATCCCGTTTTGGAGGAGGTATCAAGGTTCAAAAAGTATACTACGTTAGGCTCCTGAAGTTCCATAAATATTTCAAATATAGGTGTATTATTCTCATATCGATTATCAACTTCCATTCGCAAATAGGTGCTGCTTGTTATAACTGCATCCACTAAGTTCTCAGCAATGTTTTCGTCAACATATTTTTCGTATTCGCGAAACAGGTTACGTTCTTCCATGCTTACCCCATTAAGGAGTTCGTAACGGTGAAAAGGTGTAATTATTTCCTCCTCGCTCTCTGATTGTTCCTCCTCATACTCCTCTAAATCGTCTTCATCGTCGCCCATATCCCTTTTTTTTTTAAATTTTACACTTGTCATCGCAGAGAGGCTCGTAATAGGCGGCCATATACCATCGCCCTCCTCATCCTCCTCACCGTGCTCTCCGGGAGGTAAACTATACCTTCGTGGAATATCAAAAAATAGTTTTAAATTTATGTACATGAGAAGGTCAATGAGTCTCTGGGTGTTTGATGCCATTGCCGATCGCATACTAAGAATGGGCTCCCTTGGTTCTGTGTGAAGTAAAAGCCGTGGATTTAAATCTTTGCGTTGAAAAAGTGGAACTTTCCCCCAGGATTTTATACTCTCCCTTATAGCTTCAAGGTTTTCTTGGGCAGCAACTAAGCGGTCGTGCAAGTACTTGACCATTTTGAATATCATCACTATAAAGCGTTGACCTAAAAAAAAAATTAATTTTAAGGTTTCAATTTAATAAATATCTTACTGAACAAGCTCCATTTAATTGACTCCATTAGTGGATTCATTTGCTCCTCTATCATTGACATTTCTGCGGCAATCAATCGCTTTTCCGTTGGATGTGCACGAGCGTGTGTGTCATTATACCATTCAGCAATGCGCATTAGCTTAATACGAGCTTGCTGTCAAATTTAAATTTGCATTCATTACATTAAAATAATATAGTAATATATGTTGTAGTATATATTGTAAGCCCTAAGCGGCTCAGTTAGCATATGTGAGGCATGTGACTTATATGTTATTTATAAAAGTATGTATAAAGTTAAAATAATGTTAAAAATAAACAAAAAATTAATTAAGAGGGTCTTGAAGTGATCCCAAAACTTTTGATTCCAAAAGTAGGCGCAAACCCTCGTGACGGTACCTTCTGAAAAGCTTTTACATGCAAATAAGATTTAAAATGAGCTCGATAAACACATATGACTTATCAAGCCGCCAACACTGCAATTTTCCGTCGGTCTTAAACTTAGACATCCACGGAAAGCAAACGCACATTGGCTCCACGGCTAAATAAAGTACAATCTTGTCAACGTCCAACTCGTCAAAGCCAAGGATAGAAGTTTTAACTAAGTTTTTAACTTAACTTCTGTGGTAAGAATAACAAGGATGTATAAACCGCCATCAAATCTGCTAGTAAAGCAACAATCCTGCACTTTTTTTTGGTGTTGCTTCTAAAGAACTGTCGTAGAGTCTGCTCATTTTTGGCACATACAAAGACTCATTGTCTGAAAAAATGCAGTCTGTAGATCCGCTCGCGGCAAAAAAAAAAGCGATCAAGAGCACTTCGAATTGCCACATTAAATCTTAACCAGAATCATCCATACCACCTTCGCTGAAATCGAAACAAGGCAGAAGATTCTACCGGCTTCCCCTTTTGTAGTACTTGGAAACCATAGTTGCCTTCTAGGATTCCGACAACAAGATGGAGGAGATGCTTGCCACCAAAAGGGAACACTCCGCGGAGAGTGTCACTAAGGGCGCTCCGGTGACCACGCAGTAGCACGGGAGTTACCAGTTGGACGTGGTCAAAGGAGTGGGAGTAATGAATCCTCAGTTCCTTCAAGGTTTTTTTCTATGCCGCAGCGTTTCAGCAAGAGCAAAAAAATGCGTGTCTCCAAACTTGGTGGTATGACCAAAAGTGAAAAAGCTTTATTCCCTAGAATTATATATGCTTCACTAAAACTAAGAGCTGCGCTTTTGATCTCGTTACTGAGGGCTAGAGAGCGTTTAATATTGTGCTTAGGATCCCGTTGCTGAGAGCGAGAGAGTGAGAATCCGAGAGCAGATCCCCGATCGATGCATGAGCCTTATACACTTCTTATATTTGTCCAGTGGCAGATAGCGACGAGGATAGAGGCAGGATAGGGTGCTCTATGTAACTCGGCCCAAGGTGGAAGGGGGTACAGAGGCAGGATAGGGTGCTCTATGTAACTCGGGCCAAAGGAGGCAGGCCCTCCTCAAAAGGCGATGAAGTCCAAAAACAGAGACAAAGACCAGTGAGGTGAGCAAAGGACATTTAATCGTGGCAGACATTGAAAGAAACAATAAAAATGGTAAGATTACCGAGGCGCGATGGAAGAAGACAGTGCATGCGCGGATCGTTGACCACAATGAGTTCAAAATCTTAAAGTATATGTAGGATCCGAAGGGAAAGTGGCTTAGGCAAACTGTCAGCTAGCTGGAAGCGCTGTGGAAGAGCTCCATGCTGAAGGTAGAGGATAGGGAATTAATTCCATCCATCCTAAAAGCGAAGGTACCCTTTCCCTTCGCTAATCAAGGGGACCGAGCGCTGAAGCTGAAAGGCTAGAAGCACTAAGCAAGAAATACATAGAGAAGTCAAACAGTACAAAAAGTACTATCACAAAAACGGGTACTGGGGTTCCAGAGCACCCGAACGAAAAGGTTTTTATAAATTTAGGGAAAGGCACCATAAAATGAAGACAAGCCACAATAAACAAAATTTTTTTGGGATAAGTTACATATTTTTTCTAAAACTAGGGCGATTTTTCCTGATTTGGTTCGTTTAGCTTCTTTCTTAATATACGGGCGAATCGCCCTAGTTATGTAGATATATTATTGCGAATTTAAATCTCGCACGTATGTTCGAAACTGATTCTAACATTCCTTACATGAGGAATGTATGTAGTATTACAGAAGTAGCCAGCGTCTGCCTGTTTATTAAGGAAAGTTACTTAAATTTGGAAAAATGAAAAATAAAGTAAACTAGAAAAGAAGCTAACTTCGGAGGTTCCTTTGCAAAGCTGGAAGACCTCACGGCCTCTCAAGCCTTTCCATAGCTAAAAGGCTTTAGGGCCCTCAAGCCTTCATCATTATTGGAATACCTCAGGGCCGCTCAAACCATTCTCCATAGCTGGAATACCTCAGGGCCGCTCAAACCATTCTCCATAGCTGGAAAACCTCAGAGCCTCTCAAGCCTTCATCATAAGTGAAGCCGTTTTTCAGTCACGGAGACCTAAGGGCCTCCGAGCTGTTCTTTCCTCCTGGTCCTGGACGAAAACCAAAGGGATACTCCGTTCCCCACTGCCAACCAAAGTGCTGATGCCGGCTGCAAGGACCCGGGAAACAACTACGGCCACTCAAGACCCAACCGAGATAGGAGGACGCCATTCTATGAATCATTGTGACTGTCGTACAATAAAAGCTAAGATTATCTGTACTGAGTCATTCCCACGCTTTATCTACTGGGATGGGGTCGGTCCCCCTTTCAGTAAGCGCACTTGCACACGAATAAAACTGTGCAAAGAATCCTGGATATCCTGAGCCTGTAAACGTCACAAAACCCCTACTTTTCGAATTAACTTGGATCAGGGCTAAAACAACTACATATATACTTTACATTTGGTCATCGGCTTCCATTCCTGTGGTGAGCGTTACAAGAATGGAGCAACTGTTAAAAAATGACGTTTCTACCTATCAACAGCTAAACAAGTCATTTAAAGAGACAGTGAGAGTGATGCTTTCAAAAAAAAGTTTTGGTGGCCAAGACAACCGTTTTGGCTAGTAAAAGTTGAACATTGATACAGAAAAAATTACCAAAATTCCAAATTTTCCATACATTCACCTAAATATTTTTTATTTTTGTCGTCAATGCGCAGACGGAAGACATCGTCGCACAGCAATCGGATTTTGCACACATATTCTGGACATGTGTACACAGCTTTTAAGCCCTATTAGCGTTTCAAAGTCGAAAAAAAATTTTTAATGACCCGCCCTACTATATAAGATATAGTATTTCTACTCCGCGATTAAGGTTGTGATAAAGGATCTAGGAGTTGCCAAATTCGTGACAGTGGATGGGGCATCATCTATCGCATCATCACACATGATCCATAACGATATGGCTCCGCTAGAATCGGTAGTCAAGCTGTTCCAACGGTCAATAATACGAAGGCGATCTTTATGCTAGGTGCGCCGCGAATTTAAGACATTGGCTCTGGAGAAGTTATAAAACTAACGAAAAACGTGAGTCACGCTTTTATTATATTACAAGCCGCACCATTACAATTTGTAACAAGGGGACCACACCAACTTGGCACGGTTTTTCAATAGTGATAGAAAACTGGAATGTGCCATTGCATTGCTAATTTTCAGATCACAGGTACATATTGTTTGAACTCAGTAATAAGCTCATATAAAAGAATCAATCCTCAATAAATGCCCTTAAAAAGGAAATAGGAAACCTTATTCACATATAACACAAAACCTTCAATGAGACATGCAAAGTGGCATTCCCATGTTCGTCTATCCGTCTGTATGTTTCTACGCAAACTAGTCTCTTAGTCTTAACTTACAAACTTTAACAATTATAACTTTTTGTGTGTTGAACTAATACAACTAAAAATTACAACTTTTTCTCCTATATTATTAAGGGCTTTCATAATAGTATATAATTGTCATATTTCCAAGTGATTGGACGTGTTTTTATCTTGCACTGTTGATTTGTGATAAAGTTTGCTAATAACCACCGGGGTTAACTTACATTTTATATTTTGTGTCAATAACTTTCGGTCTTTTCGCGTGTGCATGCAGCTATTCTGATTTGTGTATTTAATTGGTTTTTTCCCAAATTCGTTATTTTGCATTCCTTTTTATAAATTTTTCATTTTGCTTTTGTTTGCGCCGTCGCGACAGCTACTTATATATCTCCCACACCCTCCCAGCTCTCTCGCTCTTATCTGATCTCCCACGCTCTCCCGCTCACTCGCTCTCGTGTCTCTTCACTTCTTATAGCTCTGTTTTTTTT